TTGTTTGTTTTCTCTCTTTTTTATTGCTGCTGGTCTCTGTGAGTTACCAAACAAATTTCGTTGTACAACAACGACAATAAAAGTTCTTTACTTACATCTTTACATCTTTACTAACATTTTATTCATCAAATTTAGGTCTCTTTAACACTTATGGTTATTTTATTATAAGACATAAGAGATGAGTTATTTTAGTTACAATTTTTGTTTTTGACTATTAAAACTATTGCCTTAGTAATGTGGTTAAACTAAAATAAAGCGTTTAAATGAATATTAAAAATCCTAATATACAGGGCTTAACATTAACTTTTTTGATCACCAGCCACTGTGGCTAGTAGTTTTCCAACATTACTAGCCACTCGCCATTTTCACAAACCACAATTTTATTGTTGGGAAAATATTTTTTAAACACATAAGTATGACCTTGACATGCTGAAATTACTTGGTTTAGGTTGCATTATCTCTACATGCCTCCTCATTCATTTCACTTTTTGTGTGTCGTGTATGAGCTTGCTCAATAATCATGAGCAAATGGGTCAGGGTTTCATATATTACAATTAGTTTTCATAATTTTTAAAGCCCAAAATGAAGGATTTACTAAATTTAGCTCTGACCACAACATAAATAAACAGTAAATTATTTCTTAGCCACAAATTTTAAACGTGTCAAAACAAGCCAAATAAAGCTGAATACTATACTTTTTATTTAACAAAACATATGCACAGTCATGTGTCCTGGCTAAAGGTCCCAGATCACCAGTTCACTAAAGATAAATAAGGAGTTATACTCCCATTGAAGCAATGTTTTTGTAAAACAAACAAAAAAAAATTAATCATATTAATGCAAAAGAAAGCAGGTATAAACATACTGTGTGATAATGAAAGGATGATCACACACACACGTTTAATGATAGACCCATTAATAATCTGTTCAAAGAATGGTTAAATCGAAAGCAACTGGCGCTGCTTACAATAAGTCAATTCTAGAACTCTTGAAAGCAGCAAGACTGTAGGTGCATGTTTCTCCCTTTTTGTTCGGTCTATTCGAAAGAGAATCGATCGCATACAAACACAGTGATGATCCTCTCATTCAGTTTTCACCTGCTTTGCTTGCGCGAAGTTGCGAACGCAATTATTTTTGTCAGTCGTGTTGCTTCTCGATCGCCTGTGCATGCATATTGGACCATCCTTATTGTCAAACCCTACTTATAAGAATTATTATCTGGGAAAATTATTTTCAACCAGCCAAAGTGGCTAGTGGGAGTGTCTGTCTTACCCACCACTGCCGAAATCTACCCGCATTTGGCGGGTGTTAATGTAAAGCCCTGCTAATATACCATACTGGATTGTAAATTATTATTAAATTATTGATGTCAAATGATATAAAACATAATATCGTGATAATTATTTTTGCTGAATTGCACATCCCAACAAAAATATTAAGTTAAACTTTTTATAACCTAATAAAATTAGTTGAAACCTGATCTACTTATTAAAAGAAGTTAAAGCAACAAAATGATTTGTTGATCTTGACCTTTTTGTCATTCATTGTTTTACAGCGTATATCACACTTCATACACAATGGTAATTCAAAATAAAAACAAAGTATTTAAAAAGTCTTATAAATAGCAACAAATAGTAATAATAATATGAAATGACATAATAACATATAATAATAATAAAAGAAACAAAGATTATAAATGAATAAAAACAGATTAAAATGTGTTAAAACAGGCTTAGAAAGGAACAAAAAAAGAAAGAAAAAGACACAAATAGTGTGATCTGCTGGACATAGCACAGAGCTCATTCAGTAAATACTCTAAGCAAATACAAACACAGATGGACTTATGCCAATACTTAAAATCAGATTTCTCCTGGCATTGAATTCTTCTTGCATGTATATTCCATTATTTCATGTTAAAGGCAGTGGAAATAACCTACTCTTTGCCATAAAGGGAAAAGCAATAAACCTAGAAATAAGAGCTGGAAAAAAAATGCTCATTTTAGAAAAAGATTTCAGACGGCACTTAGAGGTTTTTGCATTTGAACTCTTCAAATAATGACAGATTATATTTTTGTGGTGAACTTCCCCTTTAAATACATTGTTTGAATTTCCCAAGCATGTGAATAAGGCATGTGTTTGCGTTTTTAGCATAGTATGGCAGATAATGCATGGTTTCACTGTATGAAGTTTGCCAAAATGCATCGTAGCAGGGTTTAATATCTAATATTAACCCTGCTTCTGAATTATAAGTGTGAAATATTCCTTTACCCAAGGATTAAAATAAGAGACTATAGAATTTCCCTTGTATTTCTAGATGTTAAATACAAGGGAAATTGCTGTTTTTTTTAATTCATGGGTAAATAAAAAGGATTCTTAGAATTTCTGAAGGACATGTGAGTGTGCTTGCCCATGCAGAACTCAACAACATAATGTTAGGCTGTTGTTAGCGCGCTGCTATTTTATTGGCAGGTGGTTTGTTCAGTGCTCTTCTCTGTTTATGCCATGGGCCTTGATGTTAACTCGTATTATATATGAAAAGCAGTGTGCTATTACTATTACGTGACAGAAAATAAACTCTGACCTACATATTGAGGATATATATATATATATATATATATATATATATATATATATATATATATATATAGTGCTCAGCATATCTAAGTACACCGCTCACAAATCATTCATTCATTCATTTTCTTGTCGGCTTAGTCCCTTTATTAATCTGGGGTCGCCACAGCGGAATGAACCGCCAACTTATCCAGAAAGTTTTTACGCAGTGGATGCCCTGCCAGCCACAACCCATCTCTAGGAAACCCTCTCAAATCTATCTTTTAAATTCATATTTTTAATAGGAAGACATACAAAATTATATTCGTGCATATGCTTTAGATTAGTCAGTACTGAAGCCAAATCTGGAGCTAATCTAAAATAAATAAATAACTTATGATAACAGTTCAAAACAATAGTACAGACAAATTTATATGTTATGGACAAATATTAAATACAAATTTGAAAAAGGAGGAAAAATCAAGAGAAGCAAAACATAAATAAATAAATAAATTTTTTTGAAATTTTGTAGGTTATAATTTATTTTTTCTCAATATTTTACTTACATTTAATTTTCTTATCTTTCCATTTCTAAATATGTTTGGTGACTAAATATTATTTTAATAAATATATCTGTTTAGGGCGAGGCAGTGGCGCAGTAGGTAGTGCTGCCGCCTCACAGCAAGAAGGTCGCTGGGTCGAGCCTTGGCTCAGTTGGCATTTCAGCGTGGAGTTTGCATGTTCTCCCTGCATTCGCGTGGACTTCCTCCGGGTGCTCCGGTTTCCCCCACAGTCCAAAGACATGTGGTACAGGTGAATTGGGTAGGCTAAATTGTCCGTAGAGTATGAGTGGGTGTGTGGATGTTTCCCATAGATGGGTTGCGGCTGGAAGGGAAGCGGCTTATCCGCTGCGTAAAAACTTGCTGGATAAGTTGGCGGTTCACTCCGCTGTGGCGACCCCGGATTAATAAAGGGACTAAGCTGACAAGACAATAAATTAATTGAATGAATATATCTGTTTAATTAATATGTTTTGTTTAAATACACCAAAATACATTGCCTATATTCACAATATAAATATAAATGTAAAAATATTCAAAATGGGGTGTACTCAGTTTGCTAAGAACTGTATATATATAGTCTTTGTCATGATAACATTCATTCATTTATTCATTTTCTTTTCGGCTTGGTCCCTTTATTAATCTGGGGTCGCCACAGCGGAATGAACCACCTACATAAAATGCTACAAGTCATTTTGCAAGATATTTAACTTCAAGTCCAATTCAAAGACTTACTAGGTTAATTAGTCAGTAGCATTAGTGCAGCAGCAACCCAATCGTGAAAAACACACAAACACACACACACACACACACACAGGCCCTGTTTACATTAACAAGTCTTATAATGACATCTTAAAACGAAAACAATCACCGTCCACACTGGCGTTTCATATAGCATATCTGAACAGCTCTCCATTAACAATATAGGAGGTGAAAACAAACATCACGTGACCTTACACACACACAGACAGACACAGACACAGACACACACACACAGACACACACACACAGACACACACACACAGACACAGACACACAGACACACAGACACACACACACACACACAGACACACACACACACACACACACACACACACACACACACACACACACACACACACACACACACACACACACACACACACATACATACAAACTCAAACTCTGTCATTTATCAAGGATTTACCACTGGATTGCGTCTCACTTTAGTTGTTAATTGTGATATTTAATTAATTTCGTCTCTATCTAATGACTTTACGTCTTTTGAATCTATCTGGTAATGTGTCACAGCGTCAGTACACTGGTTCAATCTTTCGCTTTCACACTTGTACTTAGTAGTTTTAGCGAAAACCTCAGAAACTTTTGGCTGGTTCCTGTTGGTTGTGCACCTTTTTTACCAACCAAGTTTGTCGACGCCATTATAACGACACAGATCACTCTGCCTATTCATGCTAGAGTCCTGCGAAAAAAGTGACTGGCAGGTGGTAATTTGTGTGTAACTTAACTTTATTTATTTATGAGTTGGTTATGGGTAAAACAAAGACCATGCGGGTCAGGTAGTTGAAACAGTAGGCTATAAATAATTAATTTGTCATGAATTAAATTTCCATAAATAATTAATTCACCGCCGCTTACGACAATGCCATCATCCATCGCAATGTTTTACATTAGACATCGTACGATGTCAACATCGCCCACCCCTAACGTGTATATATTATGAACACGGTCAAACCAGGTAGAAACAGACCCATGATACCCATGAATCACCTATTAACTATTTCATGCCTAAAAAACATATTTTTTTGCAATAGTACTTATACTTCAAGTAGAGTTGTTATATTTTACAATAAAATCTACAGCAACACAATGCGAAATAAAACTTAAACATGCCTGTCAAAGCTGTCGCTGTTTTTGATGAAGTCATCGAGTCTTTCGTTTGCGTACTCCACAACATCCTTGTGAAGCTCCACGCCATGATTTACTCCAAATGGACCTGGAAATAAAGATGAAAAATGATCAAGCCTCAAGATATTACCAGATGTTTCCAGTGACGAGCAAAACTATTTTGATGAAAATGTGCCATGGCGTTCATCTTCAAAAACATCTGAAAGAAAAACGAAGCAGCACAACTTTAGTCTTCCAACACTGCAATAATCAAAAATGTTTCTTCAGCAGCAAATGAGTATATTAGAATGATTCTGAAGGATCGTGTATTTTCACAATTTTGTTTTTAATCTGAGACTTGTTTTATTCTTTGAAAAGAAACTTTGAATGATCGTTTTAAATGTTAACCCTTAACCCTTTCAAGGCAGGCGTTGCAGATTTGCAACAGTTAAAAATTAACTACCTCATTACTCCAGATACATATTTTATGAGTTTGTTTTACTCAGAAGTACCACTGCAGGACTTGGTCGTCCATTTGCAACAAACAGTTTCCCCACTTGCTCACCAGATGACACACAAAAAAAAGGTTCTTGGAGTACCACATGACAAAGTGACTGGGAAACATGACCAACTCAATGAGGATTTGAGATATTGGATTTGGATCCCATATTGTTTTTGTTGTTGTTCTGCCACTGAAAAGCAATTTGTTACATTGTTTGAAAAGTTGTACATAAAAAATTATTTTTCATATCATATTCAGTCGTCCGTGTCTAATTACCACACTGAGCCAATGTTGCAAATCTGCAACATCCCAGAACGCCTCACATGTGAAGGTCTCTAAAAAAAAGTCAGGATTACGCCATATGATAATTTTCCCCAAATATCAGATTTTTCCTGTTTCTAAAAATTTATTTGAGCCTGAAAGGGTTAAGGCCTGTTCACACTGGGATGCTTTTTGCTTGCGTTTTTCGACAACACTTACCTTCTTGTGACTAAATAAAGGGCGCCAATGTGACCGCGCACACTACTGCACAAAAACTCAGTCATAAAAGCATCATTTTTAAGGAAAAGCCTCATGCTTGTTTTTTTGTCCTTCTCCACCAATCAAATTTGCCACTTTTGTTCAAGTGCACGGAGCCGCTGAAGTTACAGTAAACAGCACTTAGAGGCGCTTAATCGTAAAACTGTCAATGCGAGCGCACATTAAAGAAGATGCCCAGGGGTGATATGTACATGGAGAATTGACAAGTACTTAAAAAAAAAAACTATTTTTTTGGCCTGCAGTGTCTCGCCTTAAAGGATCACTTCCTCTAACAGGCCTGAAAGCTCATTTATTTAGTAAGAAAAAGGTCTTCACTGAAAACACACATCACGTGACCACACACACACACACACACACACACACACTGGCATGCGCTGCAGCATATCTAGCCAGATGAGAGCTGTGCTCATCGGAGTGTTCATCAAGGATCTAAAGCTGGATCTAATCTCACTATATTTGTTAAACGTGATATTTAATTCATCCTGTTGTCTATGTCTGACGAAATATTCCCCAACTTTGGTCTTTTGAATCTATTACTTGTTCTCAGGTAACGTGTTTTGGCTGAGCGCAAAGATAAGTTAATAACAATTAATGTAAACACGTACATTCTGTATATTGACTGATTGTTTGCCTTTATTTTCGATAATGTCTAAACTTAATATACTTTATACTTTTATAATGGCCATTGTCGTAAATTTTGACGTCTCATCAATTACAAATTATCAGACCGGAGGTTTTGAATATCAGAAAATAGACTTTATTCTCCATAATAAAGCCGAGAAAGAGCAGAGCAGACCCCAGAGCATTCTGAAGTCTCTCCTGGACACCTTCCTAAAGTCTCTCCTGCTCCTTCTCCTTTATTTATGTTTTTGACACACCCCTATGTGTCTCTTTTTAACTTTTGACCATTTTTGAATAGGTTTTCTAGTCTAAGGGGTCCTGCTATTATTGGCTCTCAGCCCACTAGCTCATGTCAACAGAGATGTTACAGGTCTATGTCAGCAAAGTATAGATGCAACTTATGCAAAGGAACTAAGTGTTTACATACATTGTTATGATAGGATAATAACTTGATAATATGTTACTCATTCTAACTTCTGAAACATATACTGTAGCTTCATACAACTATTTAACATATATAATCAGTGCTTTACATATTCAGTTATTCTACACAATCAGTCATTCCAGTAATAGCCTTCTCCTAGTGTTGCTCCTGTGCAGGCATACTCATCTTACACAGACATATCACTGTATTTTTAACACAGGATGGCATGTTTGCTGCAAACACTACATACATTTTGTGAAGAGAAAATTAACTGCTTTACACTTAGAAAATACTTCATACAGAGAGAATAAAATCTTCTTCACCATTACTGATTATTAAAACTGATATTGAGCAAAAGAGAGGGTATGTTTCGTATTTTCAATGAAAGTGAAAAGAGGCAGTGATGTTATAGGCTCCATTTTGTTATAAATATGCATAGAGTAAAGATGACTCTCATATATGCAGCACGACGCCTCAACATTTCTGCTGTCTGTTAAGTTGTAATGTCGAAATGAAAATAGCAGTTCCTTAAATCATGTTTTCATTTTATTGTTAAGATAGTGAAACAACGAAGCCAGCATGATGTGAATAAGGTTATAAAGTACACTGTTCGCTTTGAAGATTTACCGACATGTCCTCGGGAGTCTGTTTTCCATATCAAACTTGTGAAGTGTGAACTTACAAGGACAGGATGCAGGACTGTGTGTGGGCTACTAAATATTGAGGAAAAGTTCCAATCAGATAGGTGAATGTCTGCAGCACCGCCTCCGTTTTCAGATGTCTCTGTTTTCCCCCTTCCACAGTGACGGAGAGGCAGCGTTTTAGAATGAAAACAGCTTCTTCAGCGATTCCAAAACGCTCCGTTTTCAGTGCTCGAAAACTTCGGCGTAATGTGGACGAATGACGTAATCGTAGCAAAACTTATGCGTTTTCAAACTAAAACATATTAGTGTAAACGGGGCCTCAATTTCCACCTCGGCTGCATCAAATAAACCACACAGTGACATGAAGAAAGCAGATCTCATGTAATGTTTGTTAGAAATACTACAGTAAGGACTTTCCCAATAATTATTTGATGTATTTGTTGTGGAGTTAATTTAAGCCTTTCTACAAAGTCGTTATGAAGTTCACAAAACGGACACACACAGCGTGCGCCTTTAACTTTGCATGGTTTATGCATGGCAAATGTGAAAGGATACAGATTAATATCCACTGTTGTATGGATATCCAGTATGTTAATGTACAAAATAAAGCTGATTTAACGTCAACAATCCGGGATTGAAGTATCTTTGTTTAAAACTGTACTGACACGCGTCTGTGGTGACCCTTGATCACATTGATGATGATTGAAGATCACAGAGAGCTGAACAAGTCTTTTAATCCCAGTTGCTTTGTGCACGTCCTGCTTTGTTGATATGATTTTACGGGTTATTATGGAGGCATGTTATTACGCGGTTGTCAATCAAATCAGTGGGCAGGGAAACCGCACTTCTACGTCACGAAGTGGTCAGCCTCAAAATGCGAGGGATTTGGATCCTATTTTAACATCAGGAAATTTTTAAAAGAGACTTATTGTGTTTAATTCACTTCAATATGACGGTGGACACACTATACCTGCACACAGTTCTGTCCAAACAGCTTACAAAAGATGATTTTCATCATAGGTGCCCTTCAAGTGTTAACAAAAGTTATTTATTATACAGCTTAAATTGTAATTTCTTCATTTTCTTTTGATTGCTATTTTTATTTTCAACAAATCCAAGTAAATTAAACTATAAAAATCTACAATCTACATACAAAAATTCTGTATCTGCTGTGATTTCTTTTTTTTTTTCAAGCTAATCCCCACATCCTGTATTGGAGAGTTTCTCACCTATGATGAGGCCCACCATGGTGCTCAGGTATCCAGTGCCACTGCCGAGGTTTAGAAAAGACAAGCCCTGCTGCAGTTTCAGCGCCTCCATCACTTCAGAATAGATGCAAGGTGCCGACAGATGTATATTCCCATGCTTCCAAGCCAGATCCTTGTAGGCATTGTCTCTGTATCCCTCCAGGTAGTAATCTCCACGGTCTATTGCTCTGAAGGCCTGCTCCACACGCTCCGTACGGATATATTGGGCTTCCTTCAGGTTGTCTATCAAATCATCGTTGTCCTCGCCAGCGCTGACTGCTCCCCCCATATTCCCCTCACAGCCAGGAAAAGAAAAGACAAATAAATAAAAAAAGAAAGGATGCAGAGGAGGTGCGAGACGGATAACTAGAGCGGTCCTCACATCCAGATGAAATGCTGGAGCGTTTCTCCACAGGGATCCCCAATCGTGATGCCTGTGTCCCACACAAATCACCTCAGACCATTCTCAGCTGCGCCAAGATCTGAAGATTGAGAAAAAACAAAGGGTGACATGTTAGATCTCGCTCTCTTCTTTCACACATTTCAGTTTACCCTTCTCTCCAGGAACAAAGAAGAAGCTATACTGTGTGATATCCTCTGTGCACCTGATACCTGCCGGCTTTGATTCTGTAACTGGGTGTTGCATGTACCTGATGTTACCTGTCTTACGCAACCTGCTTTAATATTGCAGAAGTCCAAGCCTGAAGTCTTATTAGAGGTCTAATATGATAATATAACTTCCTAAGCAAATCTATTTTTACTGGAAGCATGTTTTATTTAATGTTCTTTTAAAAATGCATTGTTTAAAGGGGACCTATCATGCAAAAATCACTTTTAAAGGGTCATGAAACCCCCCACACTTTCAGTTCAAGTCTACTTCAGAATTTAAAAAAAAAAAAAAAAAAGCAACATAATGGGGGTGGAGCTCTGCGAGGAGAAGCAAGAGTGGGCGTGGCCAGCAGAGCAGGGGAGAAGGAGGGGAGCGAACATCTGTTGTCAGTTAGCTCACAAAATGAGACAAACCATAAGGAGAAACCATGATTTTTATGGTTTACAAAGTTAAAATGCAAAAAAAAATTAACAGTAATTGAATGCCCTGCTACATTTGTTATTTGTAATGTCATATACAGATAACCACAATTTATATCATTATAAAGATAGATAATCGTGTTTATATAAACGCTATAAATGAGGACTTCTCCCTCAATCCCGGGTCTGAATGCAGACTCACTGCAGCAGGTCTCTTGCCCTGCCCATTTCAACCATTAGCCCTGCTGGTAATCTGGAGGATTTAGGCGAACACAGCAGCACGGCGATGTGTTCTAAATGTGAACGAACTCCACTGATAAAAGACAAAGTCCGCCATACTCTTACAGCTCTCCCGACAAAAATGCTTGCTGCACACAAACAGCTTTGCTGTATCTTGACTAACAGGATCGCGGGAAAAAACATACAACAAACCCCGTAGATCATGAAAAAAAAACACATAAGAGCCTTTATGAACGGCTATATACTGTGCCGTGGGGGACGTGGTCTCACCCAGTCATCAACATAGTGTCTCACAGCTTGGCACTGGCAGGTCTGTGTCTTGTCTTCAGAAAACATGTGCAGTCTTGAATAACTAAGAAGCAGGCTTTTCTCATAGGATAAGAAAACTCCGCTATGAATAATAATGAGAAACCGACACGTCATCTTTGCACTTGCAGTTTTGTGCTATGTCTCCGATTTTGATCCCGCCCCAGAAATAATTTTAAACTGAAATTTATTAAATTAGCTGTCAAAATTATTCAGTTTTCCACACAATTAAAGCTGACAGGTGCTAACATTGTCTTAACTGATGCTCAACACACACAAATCTGTTAAAATCTCAAAAAAGTACTTGAGGGTTTCTTGAACCTATAAAGGAGGTTTAAACACAATTGTGTGGCAAGACTCAGTGAATATAACCAGCTTATAAATATACAATGTTTTAAGTTTATTTTTTTTAATAATCAGATTTGATAAAAAGGGTCTGTAGAAACACTTTAATTGACATTCTCCCTTTGTACGTGTCATTAGAGGGAGAAACCCCCCCCCCTCCCCCTCATTAGCATAAGATTTGTTTTTGAATCAGCCACTATGTTGACGCACAGGCATTTGTAGCTCCGCCCTCTTTTAAAAAAAGAGAACAATCTCATTTGAATTTAAAGTGAGAGTCAACAAATTGGCACAATTTAGACAAAAGCCTAAAAGAGGCAGTTTTAAAGAGTTATAAAACATTATTCGTGCTGAAACTTCACATACACACTCTAGGAACATCTAAATTGGGCTGGGCGATCTGGCCTAAAATCAAAGTAGATAAAGTACTAGTACTAGTACTAGGTAAAGTACTTTTTTAGCTTATAAAGCAATATTTTCTGTACTTTAGTAGATGTGAGAGACTTGCTTTGTTTACCATATAAGTGGATCCAATTGTATTTGGTAAAAGGTATTATTTTTTATATCATGTATTAAGTTTCTAGTCATGATACTCCCAAAGTCAATCCCCATAAATCCGCAGATTTTTACAAAATTCTGTGCAGAAATAGCAGAAAGTGTCTGCAGATTCTGTCTCGCCCTACTAATGACTTTGCAAATAGAGCTGTTGAAGTAATTTGGTGAAATTGTACTTCTATCACAGAGAAAAAAAATATTGCAATGAAAAATTTTTCAATATCGTGCAGCCGTATTACAAATAGATGATTGGGCCTAGCATATTACCAGAGCAATGTGATTACAGCAGTTTTTGCAGTGATATAGCGCATTAATAATCTAGTAATATAAAAAATATAACATTCTGGAAGTAACTTCCCCAGCTATGTCTATAAACAATCTGAGACCACAAATTACAAGTTGAGTTTAGGGGTGAGGTAGGGCAAGAGGCTAATAAAATACAATTAATGCGTAATTTAATAAATAATATTAATGCCCTAACATTAACTTCCGATCGCAGCTGTATGCCTATCCGAGCTGCTGGAATTACGTCTTGTTTATTCATAATTTTCTGCTGAAATACAGGTAAGCAACTGTTTATCTGGGAGAGGAATAGAGGAAATGTTCTAGTACCATAAACAGTGTGTATATTATATAAATAACGCACATCGTCCAGTTATATTTTAAAATAATTATTATTGCTGTCTCCATAGACATCCATGTGTATTTTAGAAACCTTAAATGGTATGTTTTGCTTGTAGTCAAGAATGTCTGAAACAAAAATTTATTTTAATGGTTTCAAAGCACAAATAAATTGTGATTTATAACAAGCGCTAAACACCTCTTTCTGCCTCAGTGTGCGCCGTCTGATTTGAATTTGAGCAACTGATGTGCGCTCTGAACATTCTGATCACACCAGTGTGATTGCATGCTTTAGGGATCAGCCAAGGTTGTTCACACCAGTGTGATCATATGCATGAAAGGGTTAGGTATAACAATAGTATTAATAAGTAAATAAATTTGTTTATATGATATAACTGCTGACTTATGCAAACAGTTTTAACAGTGCAGAAAGCGGCTTATTACAATGGAGCCTTACGAAAACACCTTATTACAAGTCTCAAGTGATAACATAATATAAAAAAAGATGATATTCAGGACATCTGAGAATCTGGTTTCAAAAAAAGGTTATGCTCTTAACAACTGAACAGCCTTTGAAAGCATAAGTGACATTTTGGGCTGCAGAAAGGACATTTGGAAAGTGTCAGAATTTGCATGTTTGGTAATTGAGTTAAGCTGAATAGCTGTGACCTCAAGGATTTCCATGAACCTGAACCAGATCTGGATTAAAAAAAACAAAAAAAAAAAACAAACATGAGGCTTATTTACTTACAATGGTTCAGTGAGTACAAGAAAAGCCCAATTACTGTACATAGAAACACTCCATTCTCCACTCCAATTAGAGATGGCTTTGCGAAAGAACCATCCATCTAAAAACAGCCCATTAAATTGGGTTTATTTGCAGTGTTGATAAACTTCCTACTGAAATTGAAGAGCTCACAATATTTGCATTTGTATATATAGTTTTCAGAAAGACAACAGGTTTTATTTAACATCATAAAGCAATTAATGGTGGATTTCTACTTGCTGCTGCTAGTCAGAAAGAGCTGGGATTAGAAATGGAGTCGTTCTCGCAAAGCACCTAAAGTGACATTTGCAGATGTCAAATTGCAGATTTGCTAGAACACCCGTAGATGTTTGCATGCAAATGAGAACGTTTTTACAGGAAACTCACTCTACAACAAATCCTTTGGATGTAATGGTATTTACCATTCACAAGTGAAGATGAATACTTTAAAAGATTTAAGGTATATAATAAAGTGACCAGTGAAAACAATACTTTAATTCATTCATTTTACTTTGGCTTAGTTCCTTATTTATCAGGGGTCGCCACAGTGAAAAGAACTACCAACTATTCCAGCAAATGTTTTACACAGCGAATGTCCTTCCAGCTGCAACCTAGTACTGGGAAACACCCATAAACTCTCACATTCATACTCACACACAGACTTATACACTATGGCCAATTTAGCTCATCCAATTCACCTATAGCGCATGTGTTTGGACTGTGGGGGAAACCGGAGCGCCCAGAGAAAACCCACACCAACACAGGAAGAACATGCAAACTCCACACAGAAATGCCAACTGGTCCAGCAACCTTCTTGCTGTAGTGCGACAATGCTAACCATTAAGCCACTGTGCTGCCCAAAACACTGCTTATAATCCTTAAAAAAAAATTGTAAATGTCTGAGGGATTTTTTGTAGTGAAATGTCATTGGACCAAAAGCTTAGACACTCCCATTTGTGCAGCATGATGTCATCAACATAAATTTTTATTTTTTTAGAAATAGGGGTGTGCGGTATGAACAAAATACTATTTCATGATATGAGGAATTTTATTTCACTGTATTAATACTTTTAACAATATAAGCATTTAAATAGGTAGTTATTCCAAAATCTACAAAAGGTTTTAATAAATAAAGTTAAATACTCCAGAAATTAAAGTGACTTTTTTCCCTCTTTTATTTGAGCCTTGTTAAATGTAGTATTAAATTTAGTATTTTTACAGATAAATTCAAACTCCGAACCTAATGTCGATAACCAGTGTTGGGCAGTAGTGTCGCAACAAGTAGTGAAGCTACTAGATTAACTACATTTCTCAGTAGCGTGGCGGTAGCGTTGCTACTTTCTATATTATATAGCTTTTCTGTAGCGAAGCTATTATTTTAAGCATCTAGCGCCCACACAAGCTACATTTGCCGATCGCGGATTAATAAGTGACAGCACAGACATTCACGGAGCTGTGAGGCCGGTATCTAGCTGATAAAAGTAAATCCATATGGTAGCGAGAATGACGATTTCTTCTTCTTCCTGTTTACGGTGGTCAACAACAAAGTTTTTTGGGGGGTTACTTACTTACTTACTTACTTACTTACTAACTAACTAACTAACTAGCTATCTATCTATCTAT